CCCTGCTGGAGCTGTTCCACGAAATGAGCTGGACCAATCGGGAGCCACTTCGCAGGAGAGCAAACTTGAACATGGACTGGTAAGATGCTGAAACAAGGATGGCGAAAAATGGACAAGAACAAGAATATTCTTCAATGGCCAGATAGACCAATGGCCAGTAATACATCCATCCGTCTTCCATGATTGTTTATTCTGTACAGCCTCAGAGTGAAACCTGGAGCCCATCTAGGGAAGCACAGGGCACAAGGCTGGGGTACACCCAGGATGGGTGTGCTTCATTTATTCATATATGTAGAGTACATTCTGCTGGAGCATCTTTGGATCAGCCCTACGAAGATTAGTGAGAAATAGCTGTCACTGACCAAGCACTCATTCTGTACTTTCACTGCAAGTCCTATTGCTTCACGTTATACAGCTGGGTGACTATTTATATACAAAGACCTGCCTATGGCCAAAAAATTCTGCATTCCTTCTGGTAGCCAATGACCTGATCCTGATATAGAACAATATCAAGAATAAATACTATGCTGATCTGCTGTAGAAGCTTGTGGGGGCACAAACTGGCCATGGGACCAGTGAGACACAAGAACATGCATCAAGAATATAGTAATGGAAATTATTATACTGTGGCTTATTTCCTATAAGAGAATCCCACCTCCGTTCTATATGTGTAAAGCTTGTGTTCTGATGGGATTCCTTTTGGGTATTCTGGTGTTCTCCCACAGTTAGGTTAATATGGAGGTGTGGGTATATCGCCCATAGCATATAATTTCTGTTTGTGTGCCCTGTGATTGACTGGCATCAGTGTGTTGGCTGGGATTGGCCCCAGGCCCCTCAAAGGCTCTTTTTCAGGGTAAGCAGTTGGAAGATGGATTGGTGGAATGCCATTGGTGAAACTGAAAAGATTAGTAATCCCTTCTAAATTAGTTATGCGTGAATCCTTTACTTCTTGTGTTTACTGTCTAGACTACTGGCTAGACATTAATATTTTTTCCAAGTACCACTTTTCAATATGCTAAAGGAAATGTTTCAATACTTTACATATTGTAACAATTTCAAAAGGCTCAATGTATAATTAAAATGTCCACCTTCAATAATACGCAATAATCAGGGGCACAAATACACCCTAAATTTACAGATTTACAGATCAGCTGAAGTCTGAGCTTTCAAGGAGCCGGGAAAATTTTTTTCTGTCCTGCAGGGGAGAGGAGATTACATATAGTAAACACCAAGGCCAGAACATTCCCTGATTTAGTTAATGCTCACTTTTACTTGTTTTTAGAGCATTGCTGAATACTAATGGCTGTTTCACAATGTAGACAAAGCTTTAACCTGAAGTCAGAGAAGAGACCTTCAGTGTGGCTTTTCCTCCTGCTAATCTGTACCTAAAAAGCACCAAAAGTTGATTGACATTAACGCAGAGAGCAGAAGAAAGGTTCACTTTAGACTTTCACTTCATTATGGCTGTAATCAGTGCCACCAAAAGAAGCGCTGCACTCTGCTCTTTTGTTCTTCTGGTTTGTTTTATTCTATTTAATGTAATTTATTATTCGTACTGTTTCAAATGTCTGGCAAGTTTCCTATTTCTCATTCCTTTAGGTTTTAATCTCTTTCTTAAATTAACATGAATTTTATCAGGTTCATGAAAAGCACTTTGAACTAATTTCTACTTTGTAAGTAATATTAAAAAAAAACACCACTTGTAATAAGTATCAACTAACAAACTCTCTGAGATTAACTAACTGTCCCGCAAATGAAATAGAAACAGGACAGAAAGAGTCACTCTCCGTTTCAAAGGCGGCAAATCCGTTAAGATCTAAGATTGTGTTTGTTTGGTTCCCCAGGAAACATGCAGACTGGCAGGGGCTCCCAGACCTGAACAGCGATCCAGCTTTTCGAGCTGCTGTGGTTCATGTTGTCCCACCAGCAGAACAGCAAAGCCATTGAGTCACTCAAGGACAAAGTCACAGAAGCCTTCAGAGCAAACTGTATGAATCACTTGTCAAAGTTCTTCCCCAGAATAATGAAATGTTGAAAGGCGTTGTAACATGAGTGAATCTGACCAAAAGCTAGAGATACACTTGCATTGCGAGACATCCGATCATTGCCCTTTCGAGACTGTAAGTATTGTTTCATTTGCTTGTTGGGAGAGTGACTGTTAAGGGGGAACCACTATGTCGATGTCTTGGGGCGGGGGGGGGGGCTAGTACTTTCATAGATGTGATATGACAAACATTCAATCAGATAGTCTGCATACCAGAACCATCTGTTGACCTTAAGAGGCCAGTATAACAGTATAAAGGTATATATTTTCATAGGTCAATTCTTCAAACATCTAAGTGTAGATGGGAGGGGGGTGACAAAGGGGTCCCCAGACACCCTACAGTGTTGAATTTGGGGCAGGCAACCCCGGTCAGTCTGATTCTTCCCACGTGTGTGGATTCTGACATCTGCTTCCAATACTGGAGGGAGGTATGGAAAAGTACAAATGAAATGAAGACAGCGGTGAATGATGTTTCAGCAATTCTGGGGGAAGGGAGTGCCGAAAAACAACGGGAAATCATCACAAGCAACTACAGAAACAGAATATTCAGTTCCCACATCATGATAATAGGAAAACGAAAGCTTTATCGCTTATGTCCCATACCCTTCTTGTGTAAAGCAAAGAGAGCATTCTATTTATTTTTTGATTGCATAACATACAATTTTATACTTTTCTACCTGTCACAGACAGTCTTAGAACAGGCCATTGAGATCTAAAGAGGCTGGATTGGGATTTATGTGCTGAAAATGTTATTTTTATGAGCGCCATACCAACAGTGGGAGGCCAATTTCATGCCTAAGTGTAAAATAGACCCTCTTTATACATTTGATATTAAGTGACTTAAGTGAGAGATGCCAAGGCAAAGAGACATTTCACTTTCATATGGCTTTCCTATTTTAAATCAAGTGTAAAGTGAACTAAAACTACATTTTGTCTGGCAGTTGAAAAATACGTGGTTATGTGAAACTGATTCCTCAAAATTGCTCTTATGTGCAATTGTGTATGTGAGATGAGCAGGAATCCCATTCGCGGTGTCCTCCGCTTTGTGCTGCCTGTCTTCTCCCTGGGGCAGGCTCCAGCCCGGCTACAACCCTGTACCGGATATGTGGTTATGGAAGGGAGACGACATTTTTCCATCTTTAGATTGTTTAGATAAAAAATTATGTCAGACGCTCAGCGATCCCAAAAATAGCCCAAGTCCTTGTAAAACTGACAGAAATTTGAGCAGAGACTCATTTCATCATAAGATGTTCAAATATTTTTTGTAAAGGCATTGACACCATTTGTATAATACATCACATGAACATCCAAGACGTCAAAGCAGGCCATCCTCACTGCGATGAGGGCTGCACTGCAGTGGCAGTCTGTCAGTCAGAAACAAAACATGAATCGGCTAGACAGCTGCCCGATAGATCACGTCATACCCGATACGAGGGAGATTTTTATTTTATCCAAAAAAAAAATGACTTTGGATGTCACGAACAACTTGACCTTATCCACAGAGCTCATGCTCACAAATGTTACCGAACGCTTCATCCCACGACCTCCGAAATAATAGTGCCAGACTCACAACATCTAACTAGTGGCTCTTGGAATGTTTTGCTGACCGGGGGGGGGGTCTTGCGGTACATTTGTGGAGACTGACTGGGTACAATGGAATTTCTTCACATTTTAAATGTTTATAGACACACCCTGGTAATCATCTCCTGACCCCCACTTCAGAAATGATGATCTCTGATCTAGCAGACAGAGAGGAGAAGCTGGATCCAGATCACCGCTGAAGAGGTAACCCACTGAAGGAAACCCTAAAGCCCTGAGTATCACTGGCAGATAGATAGTCCTGGTGCTTTAAACTACTTGTACAAAGACAGTGATACCATTGCAGAGGTCACTGCAACAAGGCCATTTTAACCACAACAACCCAGGATGAATCTGGAGGATCTTACAAAGGGACAAATAGGAACCCACCTTACCTGCAAGCCAAAACACGAGGGCAGTTCTAGGACCTGATTATACCGCTGGTGTATTTCAGGAAAGATGGTCATAGAGATTTGAAGTACCAACAGATACATGCTTGTTGCCTTCTTAATCCTGTGTCTTTGCTCTCCTTTGTGTCAACAAAAATGTTTATAAATAAATAAAAAACCAATGATATTATTTATGCTTATACGGGAGAAGTAAAATTGGCATTAGCAAACATTTGTGGGTGTTCTAATGGGTATATGCAGAACAAGAAATGTTTCACATTTTTACCCGTCTACTAGAACTGGCCGCACAGGGTGCGACTGTCTGACTGTGACAGATTAGGGTTGCTTAAACAACGTGTTGTATAAATATGAGACAAACAATTACCATCTAATGTAAAGATTAAAAAAAATTTGCAAAAATTAAATGGCATCACAATATGGAAGTAATCTGGTCACTATCCTCAGATAATTTTCCAAAAGGTAGATTTGAAAGCAAATCACACTGATTTAATGCAGTGCAACTCAAAGGTCAGAGCCATTGCAACGATATTGCCCCCTAGAGGCTATCAGAACAATTACTGAATTTAAAAACATTACACTAACGATCGGCGTCATGTAGAGTCCTCACACACACTCCAACACCTTTTGAAGAGCTCATAAATGCCTAAGTAATCTCTCCCAGGGCATTCTAAACTATTTTAGCTCTTCATTACTCTTCAAATGCCTTTTAATTAAGGTGTCTCCTCAACCTTCAAACCAGCATAAGAAAAAAAAAAAGAGAGAACACTAGTAACGTCTAGAAAAAGCTATTTTCATACATCCCTTGAATTCACAGTTCGCCTCACTTTTGCCATAAAAAGGTAACAGGACAGTTAAAATAGCAAGATAGCTGAAAAACTACTTTGCCTGCCAACCAAGAATTATTTGCATATGCAAAGTTCAGCTGTTACTTGAGAGCTGAAAACACACCAACCCAAACTACAAATCCATACTAAGATGGGGCCCAGGGCAGGATTTATTTCTAACAGACAAACAGAAAGATTACACTCATTTATTTTTTTTCTGTACAAAATGAAACAATTCATATAAACTGTACATTCGCGAAACGCTACAAACAGTATTTCACAAAGAATAAATGTATGTTTTCTAAATATATACATATTAAATTAGAGCAGGCATCACATTCATCCTGGTATGAATGCTGAATGCTGTCAAAAGTGAAAATGGCTCCAAGGACACAGACAAGACGAAGCAGAAGCCATCACTTACACTCCCACTGAGAAACCAACCATATCAAACTCCGCACCTCCCCATCTGAAGTAAGGCTGCGGCTAATTAGCACATTGACTTTCACCACACTGAACACCAGCTTGACCGTTCAACCAGACTAGACATGGACAGATAGCAGAAGCTCAAAAGGTGGCATTAGTCTGCTGAGGTTAGTCTGATAGGAGGGCGACAGGAGAACCGTTTCACTCCAGATCTGTGAAGCGTGCAAACATGGCCTTTCGAACAGCATCTTTGTAGGTGTCAGAGGTGGACAGTTCGTAAGAGCTTGCTTTCGTTCCCAAACCGGCTCCCTTCATCCTCAGCGAGGTCTGCAGGAAAGAGCTCAGGGTCAGTTACAGAGCCCTGGATGGGGCGGGGGAGGGGGTCAGGGTTAGGCTTACCTGGATGGGTGCGGGGGAGGGGGGTCAGGGTTAGGCTTACCTGGATGGGTGCGGTGATTCCCTGCTGGTTGCGGCCCAGTCCTTTACCCTCCTGCCAGCCCATAGCCTGGAGCATTTTGTTGCCGAGGTTGTCACTGTTCAAACCGTCCTTGGTGGGCTGTTCGTAATTCCTACAAGAGTCAAGAAGTAAAGGGTCCGTTTGACAGCTGCACAATGTGCAGAATTAACATGAACATCATGTGTTGCACATGCAATCACCGTATCTGCCGTACTGCGATAGCTGGGCTACAATAAAACCTAGCAAGCTCTAAAGTTTTAATGATCATTCCTTTTCAAGACTATCTGGAATATGTTTAAAAAGGAGAGAGAATCTAAGGTTAGCTGCCACTGCTTCTGCATGAGCTCTGCATGCGCTTGCCGGGCCAATCATAATGATTTTTGTCCTTCCTGTTGGACCCACTCAGTGTGGCACATCTGACAAAATTTCAACAAAAATGAGCAAGGGACATAAAAGTGAACAAGGGTCAAAGGACATTTGACTTCCACTGTATGACTGTATACAGTGGTACCTCAGAACTCTAATTTAATCCGTTCAGAAGATTGAGTTGTGATCGGTTTTTCCCCCATAAGAAATAACGGAAAACCAATTAATTGGTTCCTGGCCACAAAAAATTAACACCTAAATATGTTTTTTTTTTTGCATTTAAACACAAAATGAACTGGATAAAAGAAGAGCATATACTGTACTAAACACATCTAAGCACATTTATCAAAACAGTAATCTGTAAAGTAAGAAAATAAATGTATCCAAACAATGTGTCCTGCCCAGATTGTCCGCTCCTTCCGTGTGCCATGCCCCCTCGTTAACCCCGTGTGGAATCCCTGTGTGATCAGCTGTTTCTGGTTGTTGTCATTAATCCTCTGTATTTCGTCCACTTATCAGTTTGTTTCCCCAGTCCGGTCATTGTATTGTCCGTCTGCGTTTTGCCTGCCTTACCTGTAATTAAACCCTGTATTCCCCGATACCCTGACGTCTGCGCCTTTGTCTCTGTTCCGTCCCCGCTCGGCATGACAATATTATTATAATTAAATGTATTAATGGTTTATTATTAATATTAAAATAATGAATAAGAAATCTTTATTTTTAAATGTATTTTATTATATAATGATAATTACTGTTACTGTCTATCATTGTCTAAATGTACTTTTACTGTCTAAATACATGTATTCAGCTAGTGTAAACATGCACGATGCTATCACAGCGAATGCGAGGCTGAAACTGAAGTGTTACCCTTTGTTTCCGCTGAGAGACATGCCGGGTGACTCATTTCCCCGCGCGTACAATTTCTTAGGTCGCCGTTCATGGTTTGACTTCTGAAATTCAGATCGAGCTCTAGGTAATTTTTTTTCGAACTGGTTGGTTCGACTTTTAAGAAATTCAAGTTCTAATGAGTTCGAGAACTGAGGTACCACTGTATTTTGGATTCTATAAATGATGAGCGAAAGCAAGAGCTTTGTCTGCAGTGCTTAGCGTGTTAATGTGTTAACTCATGGCAAAACCACAACTTATTTGACAGACTATTGGTAGATAAGCTGTATTTGGCTATAGTTATAAAACTTTGATTTATAAATTTGGAGTATTAATGGCAAAAATTTCAAATATCTCGATATACTTTGTTCCCCCAATATCATGCAGCCCTAGTACAACTGCAAAAGAGACAGTAGAAAGGAAGAATTACCTTGACTGAGTTAGTGTGGCACCAAGTTTCTGCTACTTCAGAGAAACATTCCATTTTTGTTAGTAGGGTTGCTGCTATCCCTGGAGTAGATACTTACACTGCTGCTGGGGGCGGCACAAGTTTCTTCTTTTTCAGTGGTGGGGGCTCAGGGACGCCATACTTTTCCCTCCTCTCAGCCGCTCTATCCCTGTACTTCATCTATAACCATCAAGACAACGTCACTGACGCTGCATGCAGGGGCGATTAACTGCAGCAGATGCACAGGACCATGACAAATCTGGTACCTCTGTTTCCTTCTTTTCCAGCTCCTCCAGCTCAGATTCTGTAAATTTAGATCGTCTGTGAGCTTCCAAGTTTTGCTGCATGAACAGAGAAATGAATTAGCGCAAATATCATCAGTTGCAGTGTTGTTTAACACAAAGCATAAAACAGCTTCAGATAATCTGCAAACAAATTAACCTAAGAAGCACAGGGAAAGGCAAGTGAAACATTTGCCCAACTCCCAGTCCAGATGAACTGCTTTTCCATTCCTGCCTGTGTCAGTTAGGTCCCCCAGCACAGGGCAGGTTCTCCGAGACACTCCCACCCACCTTGTGCAGCTCTGAGAGCTGCTGGTGACGCAGCAGCGCGTCCTTATTGGGGAATTGGCGACGACACAGCAAGCAGGCCATTTTCTTCCAGTCTGTCAGCTTATCGGTGGCCTCAATCCCACACTCTAGCTCCACCTCCTCTGGATCACTGTCCCCGCTGTATGCTTCCACCAGCCCTTGCTAACATGAGCGACAGACTGCATCAATTGCCTTTTGTCTTGGCGAGTCACCTCTCCACATTTTATACAGCTCAAAGTAATGCACTGGAACAATGCTTAAACCCGTTACAGATGGCAATAACGTCCACCATAGTTACCAGGAAAGAGTCTCGTACATTAGCAGGATTCTCCTCTTCTTCTCCATTCTTTGCCAGCTCATACATCAGCATCTGCTTCTCCATTCCTGCTCCAGGCTGCAAAAACCCATGTCAATACCACCAACAACAACACCCAACTACACCGATAGCTAGTGCATTCTGATCACGGAAGCGCCTACCTTCCTCTCAAAGAGCGCAAAGCCAGCATCTGCTGCAGCGGACTCCTTCTCCTCCTCTTTGCCCTGGTTCAGGGCTTGGAAGCTGCTCTTGAAACCCTCCTTATGTTTGTTCATGCTCTTAGCCCAGCGTTCCATGTCTTTGGCAATCTGGTGGAACAAGCAGGCAGGCCAATCACATTGCTAATGAGCTTAGTTAATGGAAGTCACTATCCTTGTTAATATTCCCCGAACCATAGAGGCACCTGTTGTGCTGTTTTGTTCTTGGGCTTCTCCTTCTTCTCCTTGGCCTCTTTGCTGGGCGTAGTGGTACTAGGAGACTGTGCTGTCGTGCTGGCAGTCTGGGTCGAGACTGGGTCAACTGCAGGTATATATGTCCCCTTCTCACTGTCCCAGTACAGGTACTGTTTTGTCTGTGGGTTGTAGAAGTACTGTGGAAAGAAGGAGACCAATCAAATCTCAATTTCGATGGAAACACAACTTCCAGTTTCTGGCCATCAGCACGCACCTGGGACTGTGGATCGTAGTACAAGCCCATCTGTGAGTCATAGTAGTAGCCAGAGGTCTCATCATACTGGTAGGTGGAGGTATCTGGGGCAGCTGATAATGACGAGAGAGAAGCTTAATGCCCACTTGCCCTTATTTCTACCGTTAATCCGCAAAAACAACGCTTCCGTTTGGTTTGTTCTCTTAATTGTCTTACTTGTTTTCCTGTCAGCCGATGGTGCAGCAGAAGTTGCCACGGAAGTGGTGGCGGTTCCCACTGCCGAAGTCACAATGCTGGTGGACTGTGACTTGCCGTCTGTCTGCAGACCTCCTGCCTGAGACTGCAAGAAGATCAACCTGACATGTCTCAAACACAAAGTCATCCATGACACTCCTACCGCAACCTACTGCAGAACCTCATATGATCAAGGAGCCAACGCAACAGGGATGCCACAGCAGACGGCGCCCCGGCAGGTGGACGTACCACTGCGACAGGCTGGCTGACGATGTGAGGCTGGTAGACCTGTGCGCTCTGAGAAATTACCACCCCTGCACCGGGCATGTTCCTCACCCCAGGGGCAGCTGCAAGGGCAAATCAAGGGTGAACAGTAAGTTGATATAAGTGCTAAAGGCAGATTGTAAGAGATTAAATCAAAAATGCAGCAGCAAGACACTGCGGTCTTACTACCTCCAAGTATCCCGTTGCCAAGGGCTGGGTCCGTTCCCCCAGCCTGCTGGAAGTCTTGACTGTGCTGCTTGGGGCATACAAAGACAATTGGGTATGACGACCCAGCAAGAATAAGAACAGCAAGAACAAGGAATAGAAGATCAGTGGCATTTGGAGATACCAGCATATGACCTCACCTGGGCATACTGTGTGTAGCCTTCCTGTAGATAGCTATAGTCAGTGGCTCCACGCGCTACCTGCTGTGGCTGAGACAACACAAGCATCTGTTAGTATGCCGATATACTAGCGTCCAAAGCAAGACAGGGGATTCTGGGAAATTCTGAGACAAGAGAAGCGGGAACCTGGCTAGAGGACCACTGCGCGGCTGCAATAGCTGTGCTGGCCACTGAGAAGGCACTGATCCGGTTCCCATCCGGCAACAGCAAGTTCCTAGGAAAAGCCACATCATTAGAGTACCTTCAGGGAATCACATCAAGTGCCTTGGGGCTCCAGGCACGTGACAGAAAGCCATTAGGGCAGATTCAGAGCTGAACTCACTTGCGAGCACTTTTGGCATAATCCACACCAATGGTCTTTCCATCTATCTTCAGGGCAGGCTGTAAGCCCAGGAGGATTGAGAGAAGCTGACAAGCTTCCTACAAGACAGAAGCAGAAAACACACGGTCATATTTATGCATACTACTGTTAATTATAGACATAAATGACAGAGCGTGTTCCACTGAGGACATTTTGGGTCACGCCTTCAACCAGGAAATGAAGAATGAGATGTGGCCACTTACCAGGGGAGATGCAAGCTGGACAAAGGCGAAGCCTCGGTTCTGACCCGTCTGCTTGTCCTTGATCAATCGGATGTTGCTCACAGAGAGGTTGCCATGAGGAGCCAGAGCTGTGGTGATGGACTCCACCGTGGTGAGAGGAGTGATGTTCCTCAGGATGATGGCTGTTCAAGTCCACATCACACAGGTCACAGGGCTTGAAGCACCTCCCACTTTTGTGCTACATTTACCATTGCCTATGAATTCTGCCACTGACTGCATCTACATGGTTTATTCATGTTGAGGGATACTGTAAACTTCCTTAGGCATGAAACACGACCATTCCACAGAAGTCTTGAGTGACTTAATGTCTGAGTGGACAAGCCCCCCGCTGAAGTCAGAAGAAAATAAGCTGGAACCATACTGTCTCCGCAGTAATCTCCAGTTTGCAGGAAGTCTGGAGTCACTCTGGTGGGACTTGTAGACTCGCACTCTGAAAGCACAAGAGGCAACGCTATTAGTTAAGTCAAAGGTGAAGAAACGTCACAGGACAACCAGTGGGGTTTGCAAAGGAGCAGCATCAGCAGGGTTAGCTTGCACAAGTGCGAATCGCACCACTTCTGGTACAACAGCTCATACACACAATGTGCAAGTCATCCTACTGGATGCACATCTTGCCATGATAACCATCAACAAGAAAAAGACCCACGGAAGGAGGGGGCTAAAGAACATTACGCTCAAATACACAGGACCCGCAGAAAGCTCGAGTTCATAGCTCGAGTGCTGTGGGATGAGGGGTGTTGGCGGCCTTCCCTCAAGCCCCAGTGCCCCCGCCAGAGTGCCAGCAGGCTGATGGTTGGGGGGGGGCATGCTGGCACAGCCTACTTACCGACTTTAGCTGCTCCACACCTGAAGCACTTCAGCCTTCTCCGGAAATTGTACAGGCCGCACTGCAAGCAACCGGTTATATCATTTTTATTCAAGTCCAACTAAGAGTACTGATATGTGCAACCTTGACTAGCTGCCTCGGGTCAAAAGCAAACCAGAAAATGGCTGCAATGGACAACTAAAACAGATGAGTCCCGTCCATCTGCGTGGTTGGAGATGGAAAGCTGAATGCAAACCAAAACCTGGCAAGTGGCATGAGGTCACTGGGAGTTAAAGTACCACACCAGCAAACACGGGGTGTTCGATTCTGCCGGGACTGAGGACAATGTGCCCACAGTCGGCGTGAGGAGGGAACACGAGGGGCATGTGATGGTGGGAGGTGGGGGTTACTTACAGTGTTGCACAACCAGTCTTCAAATTTGTATCGGGGGTTGCTGTAATGCATGGCCACATTCTTGCCCTGGATTACCAGCTGTTTCTGAAAGCAGAGTGCCTACAGTTATTCTTATTCACTAGGTCCAGGCCCAGTGGGCTGAGCAGGTCTGATTCTGTCACACTCAGCAGGGGAAGCCTGAGAGGGGGTGGGTGGGTGTGCTCCTGTGAGCCTCAAGACCCCAGGCGTCCGGCCATCATTATCAGAGTCATGTGTGTGGGTCTATCTGGGGGCGTGTCAGACCCGAGGGCTGCTGACTCATCCTCGGCCCAAAACCTCATCAGCTAAAGGTGTAGAGGTGCCAGGACACAAATGTCTGGAGAACCCAGCAGTCTGCTTTAAATGTGTAAGTTTATAGAACCCAGAACCCGAGTTTTGGAGGCGGGG